TCCCCCCACGGCTGCAAATCTGCCCACACTTGCTAGGAATCTACCGTGCGACCGTTTGTATCCTTACTCGAGAGAAAGCCTCGCTCTTTTCCACGGAGTCCCCTGCCGCTTAAACTGCGACAAAACCTCCGTCGAACAGAGTGGGACTGACTCCCACGTAGGCCTGCGTACAACGGGCCTCTTCTTCCTGGATCACTTTTTGTTCTATAGATCCCTCTCTCTGGGCGGAGGACTTTCCGCCTGCAGGGGCAACTGTTGATTAGCGGACTGAACAATCGTGAACGGGGCAGGATTCTTAAACGGGTCTTCCCCAATATGTCTCCCTCCAGATAACTTGGATTAGAGCTCCTATCATCCCCGGCCTGGTGGCCCGGATGTTGGGAGCTGGTGTCCTGCACATCTGGAAGGCGCTGTCTTGAGGAAGACTTCGCTAGGGGTTTCAATCTAGAGGGGTTTGTCTCTTTCCAGAGGGGTTGCCCTGATGCAGTTCATTGCGGCCCTAATCACATTTATTCAAAAGCAGACCCTGCTGATTTCAATGCAACTTTCTTCTAGGTTAGCTTACTCCGATTTGTAGCCCCCGGGTGTAGCAGACACGGAAACCGTCCGTGGATTGCAGCTGCCATCAGACCTAACCGAAATAGGCAACGGTGAGCCATCATGGCCGTAGTCGCCCAACACTATTTGGCAGGGAACGCGATCCTGTCCAAAATAAAGGGAGGGAGGACAACTTATATACAGGCGAAGGGAGTTCCGGGAGGAAACGGCTTTCTTCCAAGGACTCCTTGGCCTTATCTACTGTATAATCTGGACCGAAATGCATTTGGTCTTGGATCAACACCCTCCGGAAGCCTGGTCTTACCAAACGACTACGGGGTACCGACGGCTCTTTTTGCAACCCCCCCTCTTCCCGTTTTCTACTGTAATTTTGTAGGAAGGAAACTGTGCCTTTGTACGGGATGGTCGCTGGTGGCATGGAGAGGAAGGTGGTTTCTTTTCTTAAAATAATTATCGCATTTCATTTGTTCTTGCCAGTTCCGAGGTACCACGGTTATGCTTAGCGCTAGTTTTACGGCCATGTATTCATCACAATGGAACATATCAGCACTGGGGTTAAAAAAACACAGCAGGTGGGACATCAAAAGCACGGATGGCCGTAACTGTTCCCCACACCAGTGTTAAAGATGTCCACAATTTGTTCACTTAATCCTGTTTAATCTAGAAGGAAGTCCTGTTGAATTCAACCGGATCTACTTCCCGGAATAGCAGGCTTGGGTAGGAGCCGCTGCCGTGAATTTCAAACGACTAATATTTCAATAAAGGGTGCAATCTTATCTACAGTTACTTGGGTAAAATTCAGCTGTAACCAGCGGGACTTACTTCAGAATAAACCCTAGCATTTCACTCCAGGAAGAGGGTGTAGGATCCCGGCGGAATGACCGCTGAAATGGCCACTTATTTATAATAGAAAATATAATTGAGTAACGTTTGTAAAATAAATATCGAAAAGCATGAATCATAATCGCACGCTCTATATCATTTTCAAAAAGATCCTTTTTTGGGGGCTTTCCTAGACTACGTATGTGTTGTATGTTTTATAACGAATGATGTACAATGAACACAGTATTTTGGTCTTGGTTGCAGTTTGTCATGAGATTTTTTAAAAAATAAAGTTACTGACAAACTACTGTTTGTCTAATTCCCTAAAGGACTTTCACTCGGATTTTGTTCTCAGTTTTGTTTTGTTTCCGGTGAAAACGCCCTTTGGAATTCCACGCCAGGGCAATCGAAGCCTCCTTAGAGAGAAACATTTGATTCAAACCTATTTGGACGCTTTATCCCGTTTAGTTACTTCGGATTACCTTTCCTTGAATACTGTGGAGCTTAAGTGTCGGTGAATTTTTTTTAGAATTGGGATATACAGTAAATCTTGGAATGCAATACAGTACACTGGTTTTCAGGTTTATATGTGCAGGAGATGGAGCCACACAAAAGATTAGTCTCCTAAAATATTCGTTTCAAAGTCGTTTAAATAGCCCTAAACTGCAATCTTACAATTTACCTAGGAGCAACCGCTATTAAACTCGGTGGGGCTTTTACACATGAACAGAGACGTTTAACTGTGTGCTTTAAATGCACAGGATTACAGCCAAAGGAAATGATTCTACCTATATAGTTTTTTCCGCTTAGTTTAGTGCATTTTTCGACTGAATCCCAGCTACCCACCTCAGAAGTCCCATTGATTTCAGTGACTCTGTACAGTCACCGGCACACCATTCCAGTCGCCTTCCTCAGAGTAATGTCTACTCTAGCATTACAGCACATACATTTGCTTGACACACGCCTGTCCTCTCCAATCTAGGGAGGCAAAGGCCCACCTGGGAAGACATAGTCAAGACTCATTACAACGTAAACTATTCCAGCCTAGAGTCCGAGTTATTAGAGTATCCGGTTCGGCAAAATCTCTCGCAGGATGATGATAATCGGTGAAATCTTTATGGGGCCACTCTTTTGGCTGAGTGAGTCGCAAAGGCGGCTACTTTCCCCAGGAAGGTGTACTGGCAGGAGAACGAGCCGCTCGCTGGCCAAGGTATTCTGGGATTACGAGTTCAGAGGTACTGTAACTTTCTTGAGCTCTAAACTAAAAGGCGAGGGAAAGGCTAAGGCTTGGACCAAAACATCTCCCCCTTTCCTTATGGTGGAAGCGAGACAGGTAAACCCAGTGGTCCGGCCCCGATCCACTGCCTTTCCCGGCAGCTTCCCCTCATCTTTTCCACTCGTTTCGATCCCGCGCCCTCCCCTCCGATGATCATGTGAGCTCCTGCTGAGGGGCTGCGTGGCTCCTGTATGAAATTATTCTGGGCCGCGGAGACAGATCTCTCTTCCCCCCATGCACGCACACATGCACGCATGCACGCACACACACACACACACACACACGGGTGCTCCCAATGTGTCTTTCCCGTCTGCCTGTCCTGAGGCTGCGTGGCTCCTGTATGAAATTATGCCTGAAATGCGGATCCCTCAGATGTCGGTTCGGGGAGCGGAGGTCAAAACAGAACCAAACGACGCAACAGCAACCGAAGAGAGACAGACACGCGCGGGCTAGGGATCAAACCCCCGGGCGCCCTCCCGATGCAGAAAGGGAGAGGACTTCGGGCCTTTCTGGAGGGGCGTCGTCGTGAGGAGGGACGGTTCAAGGCAGGAGAAGCACCTGTGACATGAGGTGAGCTTCCCTCCAAGAGAGCCGCAGCTGCATCAGAGGCGACCTGGCCCAGGAAACACAACGCAGCTTCAGAAGCCAGATTTCCTCTTCTGAAATGCCATCAGGGAAGGAAGGGGTCACGTACATGACTCTTCAGATGTTTGGGACCAACGCTCATGATCAGCCATGTGCTGTCAAGTGAGTTCCACCTTCTGGCAATCTTATGAACAAAGCCCCAACAAGCAGTAGAAGCAGCAACCACAAACTGTCCCAGATTAGAAAATGGAGCGAAAAGACGAAGAGGAGCAGCTAGCTAACCCTCAGCAGTGGAGAACCGATTCACAGTGCCCACAAGAGTTGTTCTCCCAAACGCTGGGTCCTATGAACGTCTACTCTTACTTTAAGTAAGTACCGTGGGTATCAGAGCACTGTACAATTTAAAATTATGGATGTATAAAATAGAATCATGGAATCATAAAATGACGTTGGAAGGGGCATATAAAACCATCAAGTCCAACCAACCTCCTGCTCATTGCAGGAACACAAATCAAAGGGTATGTCTCAGGGGCTTGTCTAAATTTCTCTTAAATGACTCCAATGCTGGAGCACTCACCACCTCTTGAGGTACTTGATTCCCTTGCTGCACTGTTCTAACAGGAAGTTTTTCTTGATATTCAACCAAAATCTGTCTTCCTGTAACATAAGACCATTTTTGCATGTCCTACACTCTGGGATGATTGAGAACAGATGAGAACAGATCCTGCCCCTCCTCTGCATGACAGCCCTTCAAGTATTGGAAAAGTGGTATCATATCTCCCCTCAGTCTTTTTTCCCTCAAGGCTAAACATGCCCAATTCTTTCAGCCTTTCCTCATAAGGCTTGGTTTCCAGCCCCCTGATCATCCTTGTTGCCCTCGTCTGAACGTCTTTCAATTTGGTTGTTGTGGGTTTTTCGGGCTCTTTGGCCATGTTCTGAAGGTTGTTCTTCTTGGCATCTTCAGAGAACAGCACTCTGTACTTTTTTCAATTTGTCAGCATCCTTCTTGAAGTGCAATGCTCAGAACTGGACCCAGAACTCAAGATGAGGTCTAACCAGTCCTGAATAGAGGGGAACTGGTATCTCATGGGATTTGGAGATTATACTTCTGTTAATGCATCCTAAAATAGCATTTGCATAGTTAGCTTGCTCATCAGAATATCATAAAGCACTTTGTCAAAGGTTTTGCTGAAATCAAGACATATAAGGTCTACAGCATCCCCTCTGTCTACCAGGGAGGTTACCAGATGGAAAAATGAGATCAGATTAGTCTGCTAATATCAAGGGTGTGAAATCTGTTGGAGCAAAAATAAGCTTCAATCCGTAATTAAACATGCAGGTCAAAGCATGTTCTTTGACGGAAACTAACCCTGCCTCCATTGAAGTGTAGCATTCAAGACACAGAGAAGATCCCCCTCAAAAATTTTGTTTGTATTATTTCCAAGGGCTTCAAATTAGAATATGCAAACAATTGAGCCCCATAAAGCATTTGGGCTATAATTTTACTTTTGAAGACTTGGATTACTGACAGTACATATTGTCCACCCTTAGTGTAGAAGAACCTCAATAGCACAGTACTGCATTTCTGTGCATTTAATGTTACATGATTCAAATGGGAGGACCACGACCCTGAGGAATGAAATATCATACCTAAATATTTGTAACAGGATACTTGTTTTATGTTGTTCTCATTTAATGTCCATATATGCTTATTTTGTCTTCTCCTAAAAACCATAACATTTCTCTTTTTGTAATTAATTGAAAGTTGTTCTTTGGACAATATGAGGCTAGAGCTTTCAAAATTCTCCATAAACCAACACACAAAGTTGACATCAAGACTGCATCATCTGCATACAGCAAAACTGAGAAGGTGTGAGTACTCAGTTTGGGGGGGGATGAAAGTCTGCTCTCAATAAATTATTCACAATATCATTAATACAAAAATTAAGCAATGCTGGGGCTAGAATACAGCCTTGCTTGACCCCATGAAATGATCGTATTGCATTAGATAACACTCCTGGCTTATTATAAATAACCTTAAGATTAGTATTTTCATGCAGTTGCCTCATTAGCAAAAGGAGTCTTTTGTCAA